TTAATCATTTAGTTGGCGACAGATAGATTTGGAATTTCATATCTGAGGGCACTTTTTTCATTGTAATTATTTATAGCTTATGCTGAGCAACATATACAGTTGTGAAGTTCCACACTAAATTTTTGCTGATAATCCATGTTATATTCGCAGATTGAGGAGAAGCATAGGGATCTATGTCGCTTGGTCATACAGTTCATACCACCTGTGACGCCTCCCCAGTTGCCTGGTTCAGTGTTCAGAACATTTTTACAGAACATTCTACTAAAGAACAGAGGAGCTGACCGGAACCTTCCACCTCCGGGAGTTTCAAGCAATTCCGTTCTTGTTTCTTTGTATACAGTTATACTTCATTTTTTATCTGAAGGGTTTGCAATGGGAGATATTTGTGGCTGGTTGAAGAGCAGTGAAAATGGTCCTGATGTTGGTTTTCTTCATAGGGGTGGTCAACGAAGCTTCCCTGTAGGTTTATTTCTTAGAAATGATCCTCATCGAAATGACAATTCTAGGCTTGGAGGATCGTTTAGTCATCTCTCAAAATCAAACCCTGTAAATGATGAGGAAGCAGAAGTAATTCGGTGGGAGGAAGGCTGTATGGATGATGAAGAAACCGGAGTGACTCATTCAAGTACAAAAAAACCATGTTGTTGCTCATGTTATAATGATGATTTTACAAGAATCTCAAAGTATCCGATTAGATACACAGCCAAAGGTTCTCATGTCCATTGCAGTCCAATTCCAGAGAGATCTGCTCATGTTGCTACAGAATGCAGTACTGGAAATTTGAATGATGAATTAGCAGATAAACCTAGCTCTAGTTATCAATCTGAATCTGAGTTTAGTTATTGCCCAGTGCAGCAATTGAGGTTTGTACCAAGGGAAAATAATATGTCTTCAGCCACACTCAGAGAAGAAGAACTTCTAGATGTTCTGTTGCTGTTGTATCATATAGGTCTTGCACCAAATTTTAAGCAGGTAAGGAGATAATGGGCAAGATCGTTTTTTTATTTAAAGAATACAGAGTGTTGCTGATCAATGTTTTTGTTATCCTTAACCTGTTGTGGTCAATATCTATATCGTTGTAGTCATGGTCTGATGTGGTTTTGTCTTTAACAGGTTAGCATTCTTAGCAGATAAAAATTTGTTAAGGCTAAAACTTAAAATAACATTGGAATTGTGATATTCTGTTGGTTGATTTGATGATACTGTTATTTGCTTGGTTTTATGTTTCCTTGTTTATTTTTTCCCATATATGTTTTGATTTTAATAGTAACACTGTCAGGCCTTTTGTTCTCTGCCTTCTGGTTGTGTGCTTTTATTTGTTGATTTATTTGCCTTGCCTTTTA